CCTAGTGCCACTCTGACAGGAAACATACCACAAACGGGATGGCCTTAACCAACAGGAGTTTATTCTTACAATTTGGAGGCTTTAAGTCCGAGTTCAAAGTGTCAGGCTCTAGGGGCTATGTGAAAGCCCCTCGACCTTGGGCTTCAGCTCTACCTCTTGGTCCTGGCCCACTGAAGCTAGAGGCATCTCTTCACTCAGGCGGCAACTGGCTGCTGAGGCTAACAAGCCCAAGGTTGACAAATAAAATGGCACAGTCCTGATGTTACCAAACCACACAGCAGGCCATTAATTCAAGTCCATTGTAAGTCCCAAGGTTGGCAGAGCATGATAGCTGCTGAACAATGACATGGCTACATGCAGGGTCCAAGCATGCCATAGACCAGAGACCCTTCCCAAAGCTCCTGCTTATATACAGGCAGCAGACCACATACCCAAAGGCAGCTACTCAGCTGCTCACAGTAGATTCCACCAAGGAGTTGATTACCAGTCTCATCATGGGGAATACTGCCACCAGCTGCGCTGCCACTCATCCAGACCCAGCCAAGTTGACACACAAACATAACTACCACACTGAGTAAGATAGCTATCAATCTTTTTTTGTTGTTCTTTTTAAGATGTCACTTTATCCTGATGTCCTTAAACGTTTAAATTGAATAACAGTTAATTGTTTTGATGTCAGTCTTGCCAAGTAATCTGAAAGCAATCTTTTGATCCTAATTAAGACTTCCCATGTATCTTGCCTACAAGGACAAAATGCTTGGTGACCCCATGTGTGTTAGAGTAGAACTGTGTGCCATGGCATTTTCAGTGGTTGAATTTTCAGAAGTAGATAACCTTTGCTCCTGGACACCTCTGAGTGGCCTTGAACCTTCATCCTTCCAGTTAGCAGCTGAACACATTAACCATTTGTAACAAAGAGTGCCCTGGAATTAAATTTATAATTAAAATTATATGTTTATATAGTAATGTATAGTTTACAAAGCACATTTCTTATCTGGTCCTCCTATCAGCTTTGTTAGGGCTGGTATAATTACCAGCAGGTATAGTTACTCCAATTTAAGGGAAGCAGAAGCTGAGATTCAAAGAAGTTGAGTAACTTGCTGAAGAACCCATAAGTAGTAAGTGGGAAATCCAGTCCTAGTGGGATTTCAGACTAAAATTGCCAGAAGATGCAACTATCTGTTTTCTCTTGTTGCTAGACTTTTTATTACATAAATCAGTACGTTCCTATCCTATCTTGTGAACTTTGTTAAGATAAAGCAGCTTCCAGAATTTGGTTATCCTGGGACAATGACAGAGCTGAACGCCAGACTTTGCACCTTGGCAGAGTGAGCACAGCAGCCTGTTCCACCAGGCCCTTGGCAGCCAGTCATCTGCCTTCCGAGTACACACCCCAAGTTCATCATATACCTTTCTTTCTGCATTATACATCTATATTCTGCATCATAAACCTTTCTATAAGCATTACTTATGAACTGCATAACTCTGCAATTGATATGCTGTTTCTTTGGTTTTTTCCCAAGATGCATTATAAAAGGTTTTGTTTACGTTTTTCACCACTTTTTAAAAGAAATATATAGACCTTGGACAACCCTAGTTTGATCTTGACCTTTCTTCCCCTGGGAACTGGCAAACCAATACGTAAATTGTCTTATCAGATACCTGTCCTTGGAAAGTTCTCTGTTCATTGGTACCCGCTTGCTAGAAGAACGGACAAGTCAGAAAACATTCTAAAATCCTTGTGTATTGTTCTTTGTTGAAGGTTCTGAATCTCCCCCTGCTTTAAATGTTTATTGAAAAAAGAAAGACTTTTTGTTAAAAAGTGTTTGGAGACAATTGTCTGTGAGGTAAGAGTGATAGTAGCTATGATGATTAAGGTTATATGGCCACAACTTGGGTGGGTCATGATTCTCCGTGGTTTGGCAGTTATGTAATAATGTAATTTGGCAGTTATGTAATGCAGTCATCCTCCATTTTGTGATCGATGTGGTTGGTCATCCTGCCTTTTTGGGTAACGCCAATTTTCGCATAATCACCTGGTCTTTGGAACCTATCCATGTTTGTAAGTGAGGAGTGGGGGTACTTTAGTTGCTAATTCTTTTAATCATCCCTTCCCCCATTTGATAGGTTGGCCCATTGATTCACTGTTATCTACTATGTGTCAGATATGATATCATAGTGAATGTTACAAAAATGAATCAAGCAAAATTCTTACGTTGTGTTACTCCTAGCTTAATAGGATAGTCAAATGGAGTGATTAGTTCCAGTGCCTGAGGTATATTGGTACAGATACTAGAGAACACTTACAACAGAATGTCAAATGTAATGTCCTTTTTGACAGCGTTCCTGCAAACAGGGTGCAAGATATAATTGGATCAGGGATAGGTCATGTAAGGGCTGGAAGACGTGACAGTATCAGATATGTTGGGAGAAGAGTGAGTGATGAGGAAGAACAGCAGATGAGATGGAAAGACAAGTTGGAGATGGTACTTGGAGGTGGAGCCCCATGCCACAGCCCACTAGCTCTGTAACTTTTTGAAGCTTTATTTTCCTACTTTATAGGGCTGTTCTGAGGATGCAGTGGAAGCACACATGAGAAGTGCCTCTACCTTAAGTCCTCAGGAAAAAGGGGAAATCAGTGAATAAAATGTTATAATGTTCCTAGTATATACCAGCACTTAGTTTATGAGAGTTATCCTTGTTTATCATGCTAAGTTGGCATAGTGCCTAAGACATTTGACTGCTAACCAGAAGGCTGGTGATTCAAACCCACCAGCCACTCCTCAGAAAGATTGGGCAATCTACTTCTGTAGTGATACCGCCTTGGAAACCCAAGGAGAGGTCTCTATGAGTTGGATCTGACTCAATGGCAGTGAGTTTTATTGAGTAGTCAGTGAGGAGCCATCAGTAATTTTAAACAAGTGACTCCACTGTCCCATTATAGAAAGATTTAATCAGCAGAAGAATTAGTTTATGATATCAAAACAATTAATTATGTTTTAGACATAGTGAGTTTGAGACTCAAGTAGTAGTACATTGATTTATAAACCCAATAAGGTAACAGTGAGACTGAGAGTTTACTTTTGTTAAATTACTTGCTTTCAACCTATACTTTTATGGGAGCCCTGGTGGCATGGTGGATAAGAACTTGGCTGCTAACCAAAAGGTTAGTGGTTTGAACTTACCAGCTGCTGTGAGGGAGAAAGAGTGACAGTCTGCTTTCATAAAGATTCCACCCTTAGAAACTCAATGGGCCAGTTCTACTCTGTCCCATAGGGTCATTACAAGTTGGAACCAACTCGATGCCAGTGGGCACGGGTATACTTGCTTGCCATTCAAGGACAAGAAAGGTCTTTTTGGTTCATTCCGTCATCCCTAGAGTCTAGTCCAGTTCAGGTCTATGTCCAGGGATCTGTATCTTTATGTTTCACTGCTATTCTTAAGGTTTTCAGTGGCCACTTTTTTCAGAAGTGGATGGCCCCATCCTTCTTCCCAGTTTTAGTCTGGAAGCTCTGCTGAAACCTGTCCACTATGGGTGACCCTGCTGGTATTTGAAATACTGGTGGCATAACTTCCAGCAACACCCAAGCCACCACATTATGACGAACTGACAGACGATTGGTATCTTCATGTAGTTAAGGAGACGTGAGGAGTAGGTGTCAGATTTGGAGAAATAATTTCCAACTAAGAATTCAACTCTGGGTGGTCATTCTTGGCAATCTGGATCTTCTCTAAGATAGACTGTTATGATCTAGTCAAGATAAGCAAAAAACTTCAATGTATGGGATTGTTCTAGTCTTTATGATTCAGAAATGGTCTATGATAGGATAGTCTCTCTTAGGGTTAGTGCCTAGTTACAGCAGCCACCAAAATTCAGCTTGTCCCTTACGAAGCAGCGATTTTGCTATATTCTTGATCTTTCTGGAATGTCCAAAGTACTTTCTTCAAGCCAATGCTTTGTTAGGCTGGCTCAGTGATTTTTAAAAGTTTGCCCTTGACAGCCTTTAAGCACATAAACACTCTCCAGTTAAGGCAAAAATTTCTTATTGTCTCTTGGCCTGATGCATACATTTATGTTACCTGCCTGGTTCCTCCTACAGATGTTTTGAGTTCCATTTGAAAATGAAATGAACCTCACAATCTGGAGAAGTATACTAGTCCTTGTTACAGTACTATCCGGAGTGACAGTGAATTAAGAATGAAATGTGGCAGCCAGGGACCCCATCCAAAGGGCTTTTTTCTAAAAGCAGTTTTCCCCTAAAACATATGCCCACAAGAATTGCATTAGACTGATGTTTATATGCATATTTGTTTTAACACATCATGTTTCACAGACTTTTTACTATTTAAATGAACTACATTAACTCTTGTTTTTATGGGGCATATATATTTGTAAAAGGACCTCTGTTGGTGTAGTGGTTAAGGCATTTATTTGGCTATTAACCAAAAGGTCTGTGGTTCGAACCCACCAGCTGCTCTGTGGAAGAACAATGAGACAGTCTACTTCTGTAAAGATTTACAGCCTTGGGAACCCTGTGGAGGTCATGATGAGTCGGAATTTGCTTGGTGGCAGTGAGTTTGCAGTTTTTTTTTTTTTTTTTAAAGTAAGTTCTAGTAATATCTTGAAGATATTATTTAGTAATCAATAAAACAACAACCAGATAGATTGCTCCTGTCTTGTTTTGAATGCTTGTTGAATATGACCATTTGTAAATAAGTATATCTTCATTGTGTGTGGACTGTCCCTGAGATCCTTTACAGTAATTCACCTCTGGGTTTTCTTGCCCAACATTAATTTCTATTGCTGTGGGAATGGTGTATCTTTCTTTTTTATTAATTTTTTATTATTTACAATGTGGAAAATTTGGATGTATTAACTATTTTGGGTAGAATTTTTTTTTAGTAAAAATTAAACTGTTTCCAGAGTTAATTATTACAAGAAATAGAAAGATTTTAAAGTTCTTTTCTACTGAATAATTTGTTTTAATATGTTGTTTCAGTTTCTGTTACTATGGCAATGACGGCAGGGACTACGACCACCTTTCCTATGAGCAACCACACCCGGGAGAGAGTTACTGTAGCCAAGCTTACGTTGGAGAATTTTTACAGCAATCTAATATTACAGCATGAAGAGAGAGAAACAAGGTACAATAAGGCTAGTCAAAGTTTTCGGCTTTGTTAAATAAGCTGTTAATGCTGTGAGTGGAGTGTTTTCTATTAATAATATGAAACTGTAGATCCCTGTTTCCTGAACTGAGTGACAGTTTTATATTGTTTTATATTTGAAAAATAATTTCACAAGGGACCCAAAGTCCTGTGCACCCATATACTTATGTCACATTCAATTGATGTTTTAAACAAAACTTTTCCAGTCATAAATTTATGATATATCTTTATACTTTGTTTTAGAGGGATGATTTATGAATGACTAATTTTAAATTCTAAAACATTTACAGTATTGTGTGTATAATAGTGGGAATGGAAGAATGAAAAAACAAATGATGTTATTTTGCCTTCAGGTAACGTGACATAGCAAAGGAGATACTGTACATAAACATTACATGAAAGAGTGAAGGGCAAAGAAGGGAGAGATTGCTTTTGACTAAAGCAACTGGGAAGGCTTCGTCAATGGTTGTTGTTGTTGTTGTTGTTATATGCCGTAAATGGTGGTGGCATTTAAATAGGACCCTAAAAGAAGAGTGCTATTTATACATTCGTAAAAGAAAAAAGAGGTAAAAGAGCTGGAGGGAAGATATTAGAGACTTCTAGTGCTAGGTCAAGCAATGTCCAATTTAGCACAAGCACAGAAAGTGCTAGATTTCAACATTTGAAAGCCTTGGATACCTCGTTAAGGTAGCTATTCCCAGGTAGTAGAGAGCCATGAAGATTTTCCAGCAAGAAGAATGAAATGGTTAGAAATGTTTCTGTGGAAGGGTACTTTAGTTGTGATGTATAGAATGGATTGACAGGAGAGATTAGAAACAGTACAGGTTAGTGATGTAGTCCAGGCTTATGAAAGGAGACTTGAACTAGGATTGTGACAATGACAGTAGAGGAAATGACAGATAAGAAAGATTAGCAAAACATGGTAACTAGCCAAATTATGAAATGTGAGAGAAATAGTTACTCTTGGCACTAGAATTTCATGCATAGGCACCTGAAAGGATAGTAGTCCAATTTAGGAATAGGAATAATCACAGAAGGGTCAGATTTTGAACTTAATTATTGACATAATACATTTGCAATTCTGGAAAGACATTTAAGTGGAATAAAGTATTAACTTAAGGAGAGTTAAAAATTTGAGAGACAAGATATGCCAAAATTAAGTAATTTGTGTCAAGGTGGTAGTTGATATCTTTAGAATTCATTCTGGCAGCACGTTGGACTGGTGACCAGATCAGCCCTTACACTGAGAACAATTTACATTTAAAATGATTAAAATCATCTGAGTTCATGTGTAATTGCTGAGAAAGGAGTACTCTGGCCAGCAATCAAGTGAAGGCAGGAACCTCGACAAGTAAGCAGAGCACTAAAATTAAGTTTTCTCCTGGTGAGCATTTGTTGAACCTGGTGAATTTTAGCAGTGGTTTTCAGAGTCACCTGCAGCTCAAGAAAGACAAAGTGGAGAGAGCATGTCCACTGAGAAGTCTAATTGAAGAAGCACCAGTGATGTGCTGAAACCACAGAAATTGTTAAATATTACGTGTCAGAGTTGTTTCCCCCACTCCCCTTGTCTTTCCAGCTCACAACTGAGATACACTCACTCTCCATAAAGTCAGAACCCCAAAGTACTATACCTTCATTGTAAAGGTAAGAAATATGTCTTCTGAGGATGAACCAGAAATAAAGCCACTTTTCTTTCCCTCTGCTCCCAAAAAACTGCAGGAAAAACTGCCAGCTCAAAACTCTATGCTGAGTAGACAGAAAACAAAACAAAATCTTCCCCTAAGAATCTAACTAGATACTAGCCATCACATGGGTTTGTAGTCTGATGTCATATGACATCAGACTACAAATTTAAGTACAAACTTAATTACAAATTTAATAAATTTAAGTTGAAAATTTAGTTTAAAGTAGTAACAGATTGGTAATGCCAACATGGGCCTGATGGAAGACAATATAAACCACTTTGGGAAGAATCTACCATCATGTCAGACCTTAAAGAAGTTCCTCTAATAAAATTCTAAGAAAAATGGGTGACTTAGAGTTTTAAAAAAATACCTGAATCAGGAAAACGAAGCACTGTGAACAAGAGCCAACAGAAATGATCTCAAGACATAAAAGAGACCCTTACATGTATGAATAAAGAACAATTAGATTTGGAAAAGAACCAAGCTTTCCTCAAAAAGTTAAAGAATTCTCGTATGACTCAGCAATTCCACTTCTAGTATATACTCACAATAATTGAGAGCAATAATACAAACAGGTAATGATATACCAGAGTTCATTTGCAGCACCAGTCACAGTAGCCAAGAGGTGGAAGGAAACAACCCAAGTGTCCACCTACAGATGAATGGATAGACAGAATATGGTATATACATACAATGGAATAGTACTGAGATATAAAGTGAAATGAAATTCTGATACACAGTACAATTTGTATGGACCTTGAAAACGTTAGGCTGAGTGAAATAAGTCGATCACAAAAGGACAAAATATTATATGACCTCACATATAAAAAGATAAGAACAGACAAATATATATAGACTAAAGTTTATCAGTGGTTACCAGAGACAGGAAGGAGGAGGAGGAAAGGAGAGTTATTATTTAAGAGGCCCTAAATTTTTGTTAAGGGAAATGGTTAGTGGTGAGGTTGCATAGCATCACTGAAAAGTACATGTAAAAAATGTTGAAATGGTAAATGCTTTTTATACATATTTTTATCACAATTTTTTTTTAAATCTTCAGAAGAAATAAGCAGAACTCCTAGAAATAAACATTATATTAAAATCTCAGTGGACACATTTAACTGTAAATTAGACACTATTGAAGAGGGAACTGGTGAACTAGAAAATAAAACAAGTAATTATTCAGAAGGCAGCTTAGAGAATTAGAATAGAAAAATATGAGAGAAAGTTACGAAACATGGCTAATAGTGAGAAGAGCTAACATATACCTATAAAATTTCAAAAAGAAGAGAAGAGAAAGAATGGAATAAAGGCAAGTAAAAACTGAGTTTGCCATCAACAGAAATTCTAAAATTCGATTTTTACAGAAGGAAAGTGATCACGAAGATCTAAATGGTAAATATATGGATACATCTTAAACAGAAAATGACTGCACAAAACAACAACAATAATATGATAATGTCTTATGCATTTAAAAAATAGCATTAAAATATTTGCCAACAGTAGAAACAAGTCAGGGAGAGAATAATTGGAATTGAAATGTTCTTAGAGATCTTTATATCTCTAAATCGAGAGATACAAAGGAAAAAGAAGGTAAAGATTAAGTTCAGACATGATGTAATTTCAAGGGTAATCACTAAAAGAATAAAACAGAATTTATAACTTCCAAACCCGTAGAAAGAAGAATAAAAGGGGGAGAGTGAGGAAAAAAAATCTGTTAAAAACAAGGCAAGAGAGAAAAACTGAAGTACAGGCAGTCCCCGGGTTACGAGCATCTGACTTACTCATAGCTACCAAACCCACCCCCTGTAAAGCCTGTCATATTAAAAATGTGAAGTATTTACATTGGATCATAATAACAAACAGGAAGTACTTTGTGATGTAAATCAAAACATTATTATTATTGTTACTGAGTTATTATGTTGAAAATGTTTTAGTGTATCTGGAATGTTTTAAGATTTTTATGCATAGAAAGGTGCACTTATACACTATATAATAAGACAGACATTTGACTGACATTAGATAGGAACTGTACTGAACTGTTGTGACTTAATGTACAAATTCGACTTAATGTACAAATTCAACTTAAAGACAGACTTTGGAATAGAACTCGTTTGTAATCCAGAGACTGCTTGTGCAGAAAAGTAGGCATAAATGGCACAAAATAAGAGGTTAGAAATAAATGCAAAAGTACCAGTAATTATAGTAATTGTAAATGTAATTAAGTGTCTGGAAGTGGATCCAATCATCAAGTAGGAATGAATAAAGTAGAATAAAAGCAAGGAAAGAAAGACTTGTATTCTTCAAAAGGCAGTACACTTAAGTTGTTTATCAGACTCTTAAAGGTTCACTGTCTTTTCTTGCTGCAACCTTAAAAGAAATTCATTTTTCCCTCTATATTCCAAATAAAGGAAAGTAAAAATAAGAGTAATGTCCTGTTATTAAAAAAATAAATTATCAGTCTCAGTTTTGGGCCATGGAGGTCAAATTAAACCTCCAGCTCTTATTTTCTAAAAACCTACACTTTAAGAAAATGTAATGAATTTATAGGGCTTAACCAATTGAATAAATACATAAGGCTAATAAAGTAACAATCAGAGCAAAGTGTAATTGCATTTTAGGAGGAAAATTATAAAAAAAATATGAGAGAAAGCATGGATCTTCCTGTTCAGATACGGTAGAAACAAATGAAAGTTACTGCATCTCTCCCCAGAATAAGGGATGATTTCATGAAGTCTTAGGCTTGGCAAGGACTAAGCAAGGGAGATGCTGGAAATTTGTCAAAAGAATGAAGTTGCTTGTATATTGACGGTCTCTCCCAGGTTAATGGTTCTCATACTCTGAATTCTTTCTAAAGAGGAGAATAACAGAAACCATTCAACAAGCAGTGCTCAGGGGTGCATGATGGCAGGCACAGAGTCTGAAGTTAGGAATTTATTCCATTCTAAGGATTTAGCAGTGATGGAGAACTGGGTGTAAATAACAGGTAAAAACAAGTATGATAATTTCCATGTCAGTGCCTTTTACAAGTACTGAGGGATTATGTGGATGAGGTTTCAGTCCTCAACCAGTATGTCTACTTGCAGAAATCCTGGGATGTTAACTTTGTTCTGTCAGACTCCAGAACTAATTTGGAGAAGTTGTCTCAGAATTATCTTTAGGAAAAACCAACACGGTACAAATAAGCCTACTAATATTCACTTGGAAATGACTTGGTTGGTAAGCAAATGTTCTGATAGTTATTAGGTTGTTTTATATATAGGTATGACTTTCCAATTTTCAAAGAATTAGAATAAAAGACAGTTGAGCACAGAGTTTCAGTTATTTGCTGTCAACCATGGCCCAAAAATAGTAGCCCATCATTCATTTTAGTGCCTATGTCATTCACTTCACTTCATCTCATATAACCTTTATTACAGTATATTGTTATAACTGTTCTATTTTTTTTATTAGTTATTGTTGTTAATCCCTTACTGTGCTTAGTTTATAAGGGAATATATATATAGGGTTTGGTACTATTCACGATTTCAGGCATCTAATGGGGGTCTTGAAGCACATCCTCTGCAGATAAGGGGGCACGACTGTAGTGTTAGAATCAGGATTTAAACACAGGCCTATCTACCTTAAAAAATCTTTACTTTTAGCTGCTGTAGCTACCTTTGTATACCTCTAGCATAAACATAGATCAGTATTAATGATTTTAGTAGAGAGAACATTAATACAGAGTTTTCAATATTAGCGTATTAGTAACCTTGGCTAATAATTCATTCAGGGAGAGTGAAGTAAGTTTGATAAGTAAATGATTGATTTGGCTAGTATGACAGAGTTAATTCTGGATTTTTATTTTGAAAAAGAATACTGTTAATAGTGATTATTATGATCTAACTCAAAAGATAATCCATTTTAGCTTAGGAACCCGAAATGGTAAACTTGAATAAATGAATGTATATTTCTTAAATGAGAGTAATTAGTAACTTAGTTAAAAGAAATTATTTTTTTCTTTTTAAAAGGCAGAAGAAATTAGAAGTGGCCATGGAAGAAGAAGGATTAGCAGATGAAGAGGTACTGTAAGTTGTACTTACTGTATAAAAGCAACCTTTTTTGTGATTGGTGTAAAATGATTTTATAATACAGATAATGTAGATTTCATCATTTGACTATGGACTTCTTCCTTTGTTGCTATTATGAATATCTTTAAAAGGTGGTGGCAGGTTTTTTTTTTCCTTCCAAGAACATAGATTTAGTGAACACTATCTGCACTATTCTAGGTATGTAGAACAAGAAAGTGGAACACTAAGAGGATCAGTCAATTCCTGTTGCTTTCAATTTTTTTCTAAATATTGCTGAAAACCATCCACTCCTCTAACACCAGTGCTGCTGTCTTAGTATAAACTCCCATGTAGCTAATTGGTCTCTCTACCTCCAGTCCTGGTCCCACTCCCACCCCTCATTTTCTGCCCAGTGCCAGTGGCGTGATCCAAAAACAGATTTGGTCATGTAATTCTTTTGCTGAATATCCTTCATTGGCTCCCAAGTGCTCTCAGGATAACAACAGACTTTTAACATTGGTTATGGTAGTTAAGGTTATGTGTCAACTTGGCTGGGCCTGGTTTTCAGTAGCTGGGCAGCTGGATATAGTGATTCTCCATGATGAGACTGGTAATCAACTCCATGGTGGAATCTACTGTGAGCAACTGAGTAGCTGCCTTAGGGATGTGGTCTCCTTCTAGTATATAAGAAGCTTTGAGAAAGGTCTCTGACCTTTCTGGCACATCTGAACCCTGCATTTGGCCAAGACTTCATCCCAGTGGCCTGTTGTGTTGTCTGCCGATCTTAAGACCATTTCTGGACTAGAACTAGTGGCCTGCTGTATTTCTTGATAATTTTGTTGTTGTTGTTGTTATGTGCTGTCGAGTCGGCCCCGACTCACAGCGACACCTCCTTGGGTTTCCTAGGCAGTATCACTACGGAAGTAGGATTGCCCAACCTTCCTTCCGAGGAGTGGCTGGTGGGCTTGAACCGCCAGCCGTCTGGTTAGCAGGCAAGTGTCTTAGCCTCTATGTGCTATTTTACTTGTCAACGTTGGGTTTGTCAGCCTCAGCAGCTGCTTGAGTTAAGAGATGCCTCCAGCTTCCATGGACCAGGAGCAAGAGGCAGAGCTGAAGCCCAAGGTCAAAGGGGCTTCAATCATCCCCTAGAGCTGACACTTAGAACTTGGACTTCTAGCCTCCTAAACTGCTAGAGAATAAAGTCTTGTTTGTTAAAGTCATACATTTGCAGTACAACTGTAACAGCAGCACTAGAAGACCAAAACATTGGTGTGGTGGTTAAGGTTGTTGTCAACTTGGCTGGGCAGCTGGATGTAGTTATTCCCTATGGTGAGAGTGGCAGTCAGTTTCATGGTGGAATCTACTGGACCATCTGAGTAGCTGCTTTAGAGATGTGGGCTGCTTCTAGTATATATAAGAAGAAGCTTTGAGCAAGGTCTCTAGCTTATGGCATGCTTGAACCCTGCATGTAGCCGAGTCATTTTTCAGCAGCCTGCCATATTGTCTGCTGTTCTGGGACTTTTAATGGACTTGAATCAATGGCCTGCCGTGTGGTTTGGTACTGTTGGGAGTGTGACATTTTATGTGTTGACCTTGGGCTTGCCAGCCTCAGCAGCCAGCAGCTGCCTGAGTGAAGAAAAGCCTCTAGCTTTAGTGGGCCAGGCAGAACTGAACCCCAAGGCCTAGAGGCTTTCACTTAGCCCCTAGAGACTGGCACTTTGAACCTGTTTGTTAAACCATCCCATTTGTGGTATGTTCCTATCAGAGCAGCACTAGGTAACCAGAACAATTGGTATACAAGATATTTAGGATTTGACTGCTTCTTGTCTTTCTAGTCTCATTTCACCAACAGCATTAAATTAATTTACTCTCTCTCGCTTATAGACCTTTACACATGCTATTTCTGCCATTTGGAATTCTCCCTAACACTCAGTCAACTCCCATTCTCCTGTGAGCTTTAGGTCTTACTTCAGTATCCCTTCCAGTGGGAAATCTCTCTTTCTCAAGGTATTCTGCTTATTCTACTCTGGACTCTGTTCCAGTGCCTGTGATAAGACTTAAGATACCATTTCTTCATAGAGTGGAAACTCCAAAACCACTCAGATCATGTCTTTTTTAGCATGAGGTAGAGGAGTAGAGTAAATATTTGATGAATAAATTAACAAATGAATAACAGGTCCTGACCTCAAGGAGTTTATAGATTAGAAGGAGAGATTATATGAGTGGTGTGCGTATGTGTGAGTAAAATTATGTACATAAGACAGAATGTTGCAGACTTTGAAAATAGAGTTTTTTGTTTGTTTTTTAAATTCATAAGATCAGAGAAGGCTTCATGGAAGAGGTAACATTTATTTTGAACCTTAAAGAATGGGTTGAATTTACAGTACAGAGAAGAGGTATTTGCAAAATAATGAATATATATGTAAAGAGTAATTAAGCCCTGATGATACAGTGGTTAAAGCATTCAATTGCTAAACAAAAGGTCAGCAGTTCGAAACCTCCAGCTGCTCCACAGGAGAAAGATGAAAAAGTCTGCTTCTATAAAGATTGACAGCATTAGAAACCCTATGGGGGCAGTTCTGCCCTGTCCTATACAGTTGCTATGAGTTGGAATTGACTCGATGGCAGTGGGTTGAATGAAATCACATTTAAGCTATAAAGGACATAATTAATGAAATAGTCTGCCATTTTTTCATAGTGTGGTGGTTTATGTGTTGCTGTGATGCTGGAAGCTGTGCCACTGGTATTTTACACACCAGCAGGGTCACCTATAGTGAACAGGCTTCAGGGGAGCTTCCAGACTAAGACAGACCAGGAAGGAAGGACATGGCCAGGTCCGCTTCTGAAAAAATTGGCCACCTAAAACCTTATGAATGGCACTGAAACATTGTCTGATGTAGTGCTGGAAGATGAGCCCCTCTGGTTGGGAGACACTCAAAATACAACTGGGGAAGAGCTGCCTCCTCCAAGTAGAGTCAACCATAAGGACATGGATAGCATAAAGCTTTTGGGACTTTCATTTGCTGATACGGCATGACTCAAAATGAGAAATAGCTGCAAATATCCATTAATAATCGGAAAGTAAAATATATAGAGTATGAATCTAGTAAAACTGGAAGTTTTCAAAGATGAAATGAAACATATAAAGATAATTCTAGGTATTAGTGAGCTGAAATGGACTGATACTGGCCAATTTGAATCAGACAATCGTATGGTCTACAATGCCAGGAATGACAAAGAATGACGTCACATTCATTGTCAAAAAGAACATTTCAAGATCTAAAGTACAGTGCTCTCAGTGATAGGGTAATATCCATAACCCTACAAGGAAGACTACTACTACTGTTATTCAAATTTACATATGAACTACTGAAGCCAAAGATGAAGAAATTGAAGATTTTTACCAATTTCTGCAGTCTGAAATTGACTAAATATGCAGTGAAGATGGTACTAATAATTATTAGTGATTGGAAAGTGAAAGTTGGAAACAAAGAAGATTGGGAGTTGGAATATATATATATATATGACTTTGGCGATAAAAATGATATTGGAGAACTCATGATAGAATTTTGCATGACTGATTACTTATTCATTGCAAATACCTTTTGTAAACAACATAAATGGTGACTATACATACATGTGGACCTTGCCAGATGGAATACACAGGAATCAAATCAACTACTTCTGTAGAAAGAGACAATGGAGAAGCTCAATATCATCAGTCAGAAGGGCAGGGACCAACTTGAAACCATCAATTGCTCCTATGCAAGTTTAAGTAAAAGCTGAAGAAAATAAAACAAGTTCATGAGAGCCAAAATATGGCCTTGAATATATCCCACCTGACTTTAGAGACCATATATAGAACATATTTGATGCACTGAACCTCATTGACTGAAGACCACACAGGTTATGGGATATCATCAAGGATATCATACATGAAGAAAGTTAAATGCCATTAAAAAGATAGGAAAGGAAGACAAAACAAAAACAGATGTCAGAAGAGACTCTGAAACTTGCTATTAAACAGAAAGTAGCTAAAGTGAATGTGGAAAATGATGAAGTAAAAGAAATGAACAGAATATTTCAAAGGGCAGCCTGAGAGGACAAAATTAAGTATTATAATGAAATGTGCAAAGACCTAGAGTTGAAAAATCAGAGGGCAAGAATATGCTCAGCATTTCTCAAGGTCAAAGAACTGAAGAAAAAATTCAAGCCTCAAGTTGCAATATTGGAAGAATTCTGTGGGCAAAATATCGAACAATGCAAGAAGTATTAAAAAAAAAGATGAAAGGAATACAAAGTCACTGTAGCAAGATATTGGTCAATATTCAACTATTTAAGGAGGTAACATATGATCAAGAACCGTTGGTATGAAGGAAGAAAGAAATGTAAGCTGCAGTGAAGGAGTTGGCAAAAACAAATAAAAAGGCTCTAGGAACTGATGGAATACCCATTGAGATGTTTGAACAAACGGATGCTGCACTGCAGGTGCTCACTCACTTATGACAAGAAATTTGGGAGACAACTACCTGGCCGTTTTGCTGGAAGAGATCAATATTTGTGCCCATTCCAAAGAAAGGTAATCCAACAGAATGAGAAAATTCTCTAACAATATCATTGCTATCACACACAGGCAAATTTCTGCTGAAGATAATTCAAAAATGGTTTCAGTAATACACTGACGGGGGCTGTCAGAAATTCAACCTGGATTCAGAAGAGGGCATGGAACAAGGGATATCATGGCTGATGTCAGATAGATCTTGGCTGAAAGCAAAGAATACCAGAAAAATGTTTACCTGTGTTTTATTGACTCAGCAAAGGCATTTAACTATGTGGATCATAACAAATTATGGATGGCATTGTGAAAATTGGAATTCCAGAATACTTAATTGTGCTTGTGAGGAACCTGTACAAGACCAGGAGGCAGTTGTTTGAACAGAACAAGAGGATACTGTGTGGTTTAAAATCAGGAAAGCTGTGCATTAGGGTTGTATCATTTCACCATACTTACTC